AAGACAATTACCTATTTATTAAATAGCATTACTTTAATTTACTTGGTTTCAAAATTTTCCCCAAACAGTCACAACCACATGCCCACAGCAGCACAACCTATAGGCAACAGCAAGTCACCCACTGCCTACACTCTACTGTCTATTCCTGTTTCCATTTTCCTCCAATAAGCCAGGTAGAAATTAGAAAACCCACCCACTGCCTACACTCTACAGTCTACAGTCCACACCCATTGGCTGGCCCATCTACTACTGCAATTTCTCTACACTCTACAACCTTACTCAATAGACTACAGTAGAAACGCAGATGCCAAATGATTGATGAATACGATTATACGAATTGAAATTATAGAAATTAGAAAACTCGCCTACTACAGTACCAGACGAACGCTGGATGCTGGGCTGGGCGTCTGTGTCTCGTGGTCTTGGATGCAAACAGTAGTGGTCGACGTAGGCGTCGAAGAAGGGGCTGAGGCGTGGATGAAGGGGGCAGGGGCTGAGGCGTGCGTATTTGATGCTGCACTGTTGATGTATTTGAATGTAAATCAGGATTGTATCTTTCCTATTTTGAGCCAAAAAATTGGCCCACTTGTTTTTTTTTTTTGTATTGGACTGTTGAAAAACATTGGGGCGGGCCAAAGTCCAGTGCAGGCATTTGTCTGCACTGGGCCTTAACTGGGTCCGCCCCTGCTTTCGCCCCTTTCTTGTGTTACCGCGGACGCAATAAGCTCTATCCCCCAAAGTGAAATTGAGGACCTATGAGCGAAGATCGTACCATTGAATAAAAGCAAGGATGTACGTATCTTAGGTGAGACAAGAGGTCCAGAGTGGGAGTAGATCAACTTTATCAAATCGCCTACATGGATAATGGTCGCTAAAACCCCACCATTTAGAGATCAATATTGGTCAGTAAAGGAGTACCAATAGAGACCAAATTTTGGTGGTTGAATGTATATATTTAGCTACCAATTTGTGGCCGGTGAAGGTATACCTACAACATTTAATCTGTGGTCGCTAAATTTATCCTTTGATCAGCAATTATTAATTGGTCGGTGGATGTCAACAATTTTTTTCTTAAAAAAAATCATTCAACAACCAAATATTTGTCACAGAAAGATATTTATCAATTAAAATCTAGTCACTAAATGTTGAATAAATCGATAAAGAAAACAACCAATTTTTTTGGTCCCTACTATTTTTTTTGTCCAATCCTTCAATTAGACTTTCAACAACAACAAAGTTTATACTAAAAATGTTACAATAAGAACAATGAAGAAATTAACAAAAGGTATACAATAATAACTAAAAAAGAATAATTGTTATAGCATATATAACAAGTATCAATAATCAATACATAATTCTAAATGCCCTACACTTAATCACAAAAAGATAACTAGTCATATTTTCCTTGCAACTTCAACAATATAATCACAATACTGCGGCACAAACTGCAATTACAGTTTGGTTCCACATCTTAAAAAACATAAAAATTATTGGTTCATGGTTCGTTTCGATTTCTTTGAAACTAGAACCAAATGGAACTATGTCCTCCTATCCACGTGTACATGGGAACGAGTGATATGGATGAAACTTTGGTGAATGTA